ATGACCACAGACTTTGGGAGATCATTCCCCTTGCTGATCACCTCAGGCTGGCCGGCAGGAAGCAGCTGCGTTCGAGACAAATCCCCCGACCTCCTCACGTACTCTTGGACCCTCGCACGCAGACGGACTTCGTCGCCCACCTCCAGCCCCTCGGGGAACCCATCGAGGAAGACAAAGATGCCGTCTGATGTCTCACTCCTGCCGTCTGCCTCCCGGTCTTGTATGTAGAACCCATCGCGAGCCAGGGACGTGACGATTCCCGTCGTCTCGACAGGCATCCCTTCCAGCGTAGACTTCCGGCCAGACCCCTGGATATCATAGATCTTCTTCTCCAAGATGACGACCTCTCCGAAAGATTGGCCCACATTGACTCTTCCGGGGCTCTCATCAGCTGGCCCTGCCCACATGAAGTCACTGGCCTCTCGTCCGATGCCGATCAGCTGGAGAGACTGACCGACAGGCGTCGTACCAGACTCTGAAACTCTGATGGCGGTGCTAGTCATGCCTTCAGCAGGTCCGTCCAGTGCCTCGAAGCTGCGTCCTTCATAACTCACAAACTGCTCCACATCTCCGTGAGAATTGACGAGCGCCAGACCGTCCGGTCCATTTTGAAGGCCAATCTCCTTGAACGCACGCACGCCAAAGCCGTTCAATTGGTCGGGAAGGACTTCATCGAGCTCAATAGTACCGTAGACCTGCCCATCGCGTCCGTTGTACAGCTTCACTGTCCAGCCAGCGAGATTGGTGCCAGCAAGGCCAGCGATCTCGACAAATTCACCCACGTCGACGCCTTTATTGTCGTAATGCACCTCATTGATGAAGACGGACTGTCCGGCACAGGGCGGGACGCTAGACACGAGCACAACAGAGACGGCGAGGGCGAGATTGAGCATCATAGCTGTGGTGATGGCAGGTGACGGGCTGCGCCAATACACAGCAAGATGTAAGCAGGTGAGCGCCTCCGTCTGGCTGGAGCTGGCTCACCAAAAGCACGTTTCAAACTTCCTCACCTGAATGTGACGAGATCTGTTCGACACTTGTGCCGCCTGAATGGGTTGGTTGCACCTACAGTTAGAGAATCCGCAGTGGCTCAGGGAACGAGTAGGAATGTGACGAAGCCCGAAGAAGCATTCAGTGACGATAGAGGCCTACATAGCAGCGGTTTCAGGGAGTACCCTAGGCGGCCTGACGGCCCAGTCCCATGTTCGTCCATCCCAACATGCAACATGCACCCCAACATGCAACACGCACACGCAACACGCAGCTCGCCAAGGGCAGAAGCAGCAAACAGGTGGATATGCAATGCGTTACGAACGACGGCAACATACGAGCGAGCAGGCACATAGCGTCACACGCACGCCACCCCAGCACGCGGCTGGAAGAAGGCGACGTGCGTGCTGCACCATGACTCCATACGTAAATACCGCCCATCCCCAGCTGGCCAGCCAGTGCAGATCGACCAGTCACACACAAATATGCCCTTGACACAAACACACACGGGGAGATGAGGGTGTCCGAAAGTGGGGCGCACCGCCGCTCCAGGCTCCACGGCGGAGAGGGGGCGGCAGGCGGCCGACTTGCAGACAGCCACAAAGCACGCCCGCACACACATCACCGCAGGGAAAACCACAAGGGCAAGCCACATACAGCCAGACGCACCTGAACGCCGTGCCGACATACTCGCCCCTCGCTACACGCCCTCATACGAATACCGACACCCCAGCCTCAGACGTACACACCCATACACACACACCCACCCACACACACACACAGGCACATTGAAGTCACATGCATGCGAAAGAAAGGCGCGGCACAGTGTGGCGAGCAAAAGGCCTAGTGGGGTGAATAAGGTGTACACGCAAGCTTGGGTCATTCACATGCATCGTTGCATCCATGTCTCGTAGTTCTCGGCGTGTAACTCGCCTGTGCTGTAACTCCCCCTCTCGTTCGTCAGCTCTTGCTTGTCGTTGCTCTCGAGCGCTCTGGAGGCGTTGGCGGTCAGCGAGATCACCGAGAAAGAAAAACGCTTTTGGCGACGAGTTGCTTTTGGCTGTTGTTCACTCATCTGGTAGATCGACCTCTCCCGAGTGGGAAGCTTATCACCAGAGGGCCTGCCAGCTTCGCTTGCGCTGTGTAGCCCTTCCTGATGGCAACCTTGGCCGAGCTATCACTGATGCTGTCGCCGATGACGTGGAGGAGATTGCCAAGCTTGAGGCACCTGCTGAGCGGCTCTTCGTCTTCATCCGCAGACTTATTCAACGTGACCCTGATGTGCGGAAGAGCAAGGATGTCAGACGGATGCTCTGGCGGCGACTCGAGATGTGGCGGGAGGTGCTGGTGGAGGAGCTCCTGGAAGCGGAACGACTGGACGAACACTTCGCCGCCACTCAACCTCCTCTTGACGACGAGTCCGTCTACCGCATCTTCAACAAGCTCATGCTGGAGGGCAAGGTCCGGGCGGCTGTTCGCTTCGTCACTGAGAGGGGTGGTGGCGGTGTCCTCCATCCGTCCGCTCAAGCTGAGAAGCGCCCACCAGGCGTCACACTGCTCGACGTCCTTCGCGAGAAACACCCACCGCAGCAGCAGCCATGCGAGGAGGCCTTCCTTCCCTGCGACTCCCTCCCTCCCCTTATAGACGTGGACATCACTGAGTCAACGGCGGAGCGCACTATACGAAGCCTGAGCGGGAGCGCTGGGCCGACTGGAGGCGACGTGGACTTCTGGCAGGGGCTCCTGCTTCGCTTCGGCGCCAAGAGCGGCCGCCTTCGCTCGGCAGTGGCGTCTCCCGTGTCCGGCCTGGCACCGATCAGCTGTGCATCGAGGTGAAGGCGGGCATCGAGGGGGCCGTGCATGCTATGAACGACATCTTCCAAGAGGATGGGACTGAAGGCTTTCTGCTGGTGGATGCGAACAACGCTTTCAACAGCATCAGTCGACCTGCAGCCATCTGGAACACTCGTGTACTGTGGCCCCGCTGCTCTCGTTACGTGTCCAACACCTATTGAGGCTTCGCCGGCCTCTACCTGCAAGACTCGACCGACTGCCTGTGGAGCCGTGAAGGCGTAACCCAGGGCGATTCCTTGGCGGTGTTCGTCTACGCCTGCGGCAGCCTCCCCCTCATCCATGCTTTGCGGGCCGCCTGTGCTGAGGAGGGGTATCGGATGCCATCGAGTGGGAGGTAAGACGACCTTGGCGGGGATGAGTGTGGATCAGATGAGGATGAAAAGGAAAAGGGGTCATCAGAAGCCAATGACAAGCCATCAGAAGTGGAAGGGGGAGGGGTGGGTGCATGTGTGTTTTCGGGTGTGGATGTAGGTGTGAATGTGGAGGAGAATTCGCCTGTTTCTTCATCGGCCTCTTCGCCTGATGCCCCGCTTCGACAGTGCTGGTATGCGGACGACTCGTCGGCCCTCGGCAAACTTCTCGCTATCCTCGTGTGGTTCCGTGCCATGTGTCGCATCGGCCCCTCATTTGGCTAGCACCCCGACCCTGCCAAGTGCTTCCTCATCGTCAAGCCCGACCTCGAGCACGCCGCGCGAGAGCTGTTCGCGGCCGAGGGGGTGCAAATCGTCACGGGCAGGAGGTTTGTGGGCGGCTATGTGGGTGACGAGACGGGGAGGGCAGCTTTCCTCCGCGAGAAAGTCGAAGGGTGAGTGCACAGCGTGCGTGCGCTCACTTCAGCTTCCCGCAACTTCCCCCACACGGCCCACGCGGCGATAACGCGGTCCCTGCAGATAGAGTAGGGCTACGTCCTTCGAGTCGTGCTCACCGACGAGTGTGCGCCGAGTAAGTCAATCAAGCGCTCGTCGTTCAGGCTCCCTCACTTGGGCTGGCTAGACAATGCACATACCTCAAAGGGAAAAAGAGTGGGGCGGTCACATACAAAAGACCTACCTGACCGAAAGGGTCAGGCGGGTCAGGTGAGTAAGAAACGTATCTGCGGATGTGCCTCTCGCATGTCTCTGCAAAGAACGGCCAATGCCCTTTCTGTCGAGCGAGGAACGATCGCATTGGTGAGGGGTCTCACGAAGAAAGTAGAGACTTTCAGTGACACACGCCACCGATCTTTCCGGACCATTAGAAAACAGAGATCGTTGTTGTATATATAGAGAATATGTACCCATGAACCCTGGTCCCTTCGGTCCTACGAGTTTCATGGTACATATTCTCTATGGGGTGCAGAGTTTGAGTTGGCTGGGATGGACGGGCGGCCTCAATTGTTGTGAGCACGCATTGATGGAGCAAGGACTTGAGCAAACAATGAAGCAAGCACGTATTGATCGAGCAAGCGATGAAGCACGCACCTTTGTCCTTGCGCTATGCAAAGCATGCACCGTCCAATCAATCGCTCAGAATACTGATAGAGAATGCTTTGGACGTGAGCAACAGCCACCCAACACTCACACCCACAGTCAGTCATGCGACGATCTAACACGTCTATTGGGGGCACGTCACTGACTGGTAAGCGAGAGTAGACAGAGGTAGATACCAGACAGGCACACACAGCTACAGACAGCACTGACAGAGTGACGAGCCGACAGGTTGAGAGCACGCACGCAACAAACGCTATGCCTCTCTCATCTCACACACCGACACCGAAGGCAACCACAACAGTCCATCCGTTACTAGAGATGGCTACAACTCAAAAAACACACCTTCAGACAAACAGCTCACCAAAAAATGACACGCTGACTCTCGTACGACTATCGTACGCCAGAGTTTCACTGTATATAATCTGCACGCACGCATCGTCCGTCCTGCTAAGTACGTGAGCACGCATCGTCCAATCAGTCAGTGAGCCTGTCCGTCTGTGAATGCAAACACGCACGCACCGAACGCCAAGCAAAGAAGTCCTTGCTCCCATACGAAGCACTCTCCCCTTCCTCCCTCCCTTCCTCCCCTAAGCACGTGAGCACTTGTTGGTCCGCACACGCATAGCACACCCGCACTGCATGCCCTCTCTCATATACTCCTCGCCCTTTTACGCACAACCGCACACAGACACACCTCTAGCAGACATCATCAAGAAAAAACGCACCCCACGTACGCACGCACACCCACACGCGCACTGCATGCCCGTCTTCCATCCATTAAGCAAGCACACACCATCACACACAAGTCGTCATTGCCCGACAAAAGCACACGCTTTTGTCCACATTGAAAGGACTCAACGTACGTATGCACACACACCCATTCACCCAAACACACGCACTGCATGCCCTCTCTCATGTACTCCTCGCCCTTTTACGCACAACCGCACACAGACACGCCTCTAGTAGACATCATGAAGAAGAAACGCACCCCACGTACGCACGCACACTCACACATGCACTGCATGCCCGTCTTCCATACATTAAGCAAGCACACACCATCACACACAAGTCGTCATTGCCCGACAAAAGCACACGCCTTTGTCCACATTGAAAGGACTCAACGTACGCACGCAGGCACACCCACTCACCCAAACACACGCACTGCATGCCCTCAACTTCAAACGTGCATGCGCAGGTGTGCGTACATAGATATTCATCATATACCCACACTCCAAGTCCACGCGTGTATGCGGAGGTGTACGCACAGAAACAATCGTCATATACCCACATTCCAAGTCGACGCGTGGCCGTTCATGACGATGATGAACGTATGCGATTCGTTGGACACGTTGCGTGCGGGTTCGACGACAGTGCACCACGCTAATGCACGCTCGACACCGTCCATTGCTGGTGGTGGCCGCCGCTGCGCGACCACTGTTGGGCGTTGGCGCCATCCAGGCCGACTTCGGGCAGGTCAATGTCGATCACTTTGCCACTGGCACGGTTCACGATGTAGAAGTGGCCGTCGTCGGTCATGTCGATCCACCAGTGCTGGTTGGTGCCACCGCAGCCCCTCTGCTGCACATTGGCGCCGTCACGGTTGATGTCGGGTGCATGCACGTCGAGCAACTTGCCGCTGTGCGCGTTCACGATGTGGAAGTAGCCGCCGCCGATCGACTCGAGGCGCCAGTGCTGGTCGGTGCCACCGCGGCCCCACTGCTGCACGTTGGCGCCGTCGCAATCGATGTCATGCGAGTGCACGTCGAGCATCTTGCCGCTGCGACGGTTGACGACGAAGAACGTGCCGGCGTCGCGGCGGTACACCGCGGCGTGCTCCTGCATGCGCGCGACCTGGCCCGGCGTAAAGTTGTCCATCCAGGCGTCGTCGGTGTAGTTCATGTAGTTCTTGACTGGTGCGCGCTCGCCCGCCATGCAAGCGCCGTTGGCCGCCGTAGGATCAGGCTTGCCCCAGTTGGGAAAACGGTGCGCCGGCGTGTCGTCGATCTCGTCACCTTCGCCAGAGCAGCCGTTCTGGAACGTGTGCAGCAGGCCGAACCAGTGTCCGACCTCGTGCACCCCCGTGTCGCCCTCGTTGAACGGATGGTTCGTGCCGCCAGGGAGCGTGTCGACGTGCAGCACGACGCCGTCCATGGTCGGCGCGCCGGCGAAGTCCCACGGGAACGTCGCCCAGCCCAGCGTGCCAGTGGGCGGGTTGACCGTGTAGATGTTCAGGAAGCCACTGCGGTACAGCTCGCGCTTGGCGGCCGCCTCCTCCGCGCTCTTGTGCTCCATGCGGAACCAATCGTCGTTGTCGTGGTTTACGACATTGCTCGGGTGGTAGATGAAGTCGAAGTTGGCGGCGCGGAACGCGTCGTTGAGCACGGCCACCTGCTGCATGCGCTGTTGCTCGCTGACGTCGCCGGCCGCGCCCGACCGCAGGTGCACGAAGCGCACGAAGATGGGCGTGTGCTTCGGGCTCGCGCGTGCCGTGTCGCCCGCCGCAGTGCGAGCGAGCGCTTGTCGACGTGTGCGCGCCGCCCGTTGCGTCGCGATGCTTGGATTGTCGGTGGCGCACTTTACGCCCTGCACACCGCGGCCATCATCGTCTGATTCATCGCCCGTGACCGGCGTGGCGCCGGCGGCCCCGGCCGTGGTCGTGGTCGTGGTCGCGGTCCTGTGCATCGAGAGGCTTGCAGCTGTTATTGCCGTTTTGCTGTGGCGGTTGTCACGAAGCAAGTCGAACCACAGCTTTCCTGATTGCGAGCTTGCGAGCTGAGCTTTTGCGAGCTTGGCTTCAAGCTAGCAAGATCTATTCTATCACCCGCCCTCCCATTGAGGATGAGTCTCATGTCTTTGCATGTTGTCCATTGTATCGTTCCCTTCGTGACACGCTACACAGAGTTATCGGCCAGCATGGTGTGACTGCCCCTGATGCCTGTAACTATCGTCGGTGGCGCAGGTCACATCCTATTGTTTTCACCTGTTGTGTGCTGCAATCGGACAAACTGCCGGTGCTTTCTGCAGCGGCAGACTTTCTTCTTTCAGCACAGGCAACACGCACTGAGTGGCTTGCACTCAATCCGTTCTTGCCAGACAGTCAGTCAGCGGCAGAGGATGAATTGGTATATGAACAGTATGTATTGGATCAGTGGGCGCTCGACGTCGAGCTCTCTGAGTAGCCTCTGTGCGTCATGCATATGTCTGGCTGTCTTCTCGTATATGTGCAGCCGGTGTTGACAGTGATTTTTCTGACCGTCATAGGGTGGCACGTGCATGTCGAGTGGGTGGGTGGGATGGGTAGACAGGCCGTGTGCATGCTTCTATGCATGTGCATGTTGCTAGTTTAGTCCGTGACATGGACAGGATCCCCTCCGGGGTTACAGACACGAGTCTCGTTAAACACAATGACCAACCAACCTATTCCCTATCTGTGCATGATGTCAGTGCAGATGATCCTTTCAGCCATCACCGAAGATGGATCTATGTTGACCGGACCTCATGGTGCCATATATAGACAGGAAGGATGTTGTATATAGTCCAGATTCATACCATGAACCCCCAGCCCCTTCGGGTCTAGACTAAATTTTCGTCTGTCTATCATTTTCGTCTGTCTGTCATCTGCGTTTGTTTGTCCCTCACTCGATGACATCACTGTCGTGTGCTGTATGAGGCGAGGCTGACTGCAGGACGGTCGACAGCACTCGAAAGACCTTCTCATTCCTCACGAGAGAACGAGCCATGGCCATCGCAAGATTGAACACCTGAATGAAAGCCGAACACAAGAGCGATGAATGGGTGAAAATGCACCGTGCATTTTAGCTATGCATTTCTACTGCACTGGTGTCCTTGAACGTCTCTCCTATTGTGTGCATCTCTTTCGTCCGTGCAATGAGTGTGGCGATTCGATCAATAAGAACGGGAGATGTGGCGCCAGAACGAGCGAGAGATATCAGCAGCTTTAAAAATGCACACACAGAGTGAGAGAACAGTGCATCTACGCAAGCGTGTCTGACTGTATCTCTGTACCTGGCTGATTTGCGGCACAATGAAGTCGTGCAGCTTCTTGCGAGCCTCCACAAACAGCAGGTCGAATAAAATCGCCAGTCGCTTTGCCAATCCTTCCAATAGCTCTCGGACGTCTCTCGCCACGAGTGTGGCCTGAGCTATTTCATCTTAGAGAAATGAACGATGGACAGACTATGAGTCTCTTTATGCATTGTATTCTTGCCCTCGTCACCCAATTTGACGCACCTTGGGGACAAAGTCGTCATTTAAGGGTGAGAGGCGGAGGCTGTCCACATATTTTAGGAAGTTGGTTGCGTCAGCCATGCTGTCCCACCTTTTGTGCAAACAAACGTTCAGAAGGATGACGTCTCAGTGAGCTTTACACTCTTACACAATGTTTCTTTCTGCAGGCCGCAATGAGGACGTCGAAGCATCTAAGGACAGCGTTGCAGCTGCCTTGTCTGTCAATGACACTGCATGAAAACAAAGGAGAAAGTGGTGAGCAGGCAGACGCCGCACCCTATCGTACAGTCCGCCTCTTGTGTGTTGCAGCATGATGTGCAGGAAGAGCCTGATGATGTGCACTGAGTCTCAGGATGACGTAACCTAAGGCTTCATGCGTCTTACCTTGAAGTTCCTCCTAAGTGCTGACAACTTCGCCATTCGCCACTGCAATGGCGACAAGGAAGTACTGGAATGGTCGTGTGTTCCTAGCCAACCATTCCTGTTCGTAAATCGAGGGGAGATCTATCGACCAGGCGGGAGGAACTTTGATATCGCGAGGCTGAACAGTTGACACTGTGAAGGTCGAGAAGTGCTTCTGATGCTGTTCTGATGCGGTTCTGCTTGGACACGTCAAGACGTAATCAGTTGCAGATCTTTGCGCGATAAGACCCCAGAGAAGCCTCACCGAAAAATGGCTCTTCCGATCAACTCATGTACGCTTCCATCCATCATTCACATAAGAGTCAGAGTCCGTGAAGGTCACCAAAGAAATAGACAAAGCCAATGGGCGCGGTGAGCGCTTTCACGAAGGGGAATCTCTCCCTTCCAACCTCACTAGCTGACCTGCCTAGCTTCAGTATCTCAGGCCACGTGACGCTTGGAAGCTCAGGCAAAAGAACAACAGACGAATAGCGTACACCGACCGGATCGCTTCTTGCCTAACGGGCAAGCCAAAGCAAAAACGTCAGGCCTGGTTCTATTGCCTATGGTGAAGAGCCTGACGAACATAATTACCCTCACTGTCCATGAACGAAGAAAGAGAATTGTATCAGCATGAGGCAACTCAGCAGGCACGACACGGCAGTCAGGACACAAATATTGCCCAAGTGCCCCTCTCGCCTGCCGTTCGATATTAAACTGAACAGCCCTCTCTGACACACTCCTCTTCTCGTTTTTCCGCTCGCTGTCGTATACTCCTTGTCACTTGTCACCCAGGCTCCACTTGGCATATAGCAAGAAGGGAATCACTCCAAGACCATCAGCAGCCAGTACCTTCAGAGGCTTCCCACGTCGCGGCCATCTCATGCCGGAGCATGAAACTTAGTAAGGGAAATCCCCATCAGGACCACAGGGACGCAGCAGCCTCTCGGCTCCCTGCAAACGCTCGTCGCTGCTCTCACCCTCATAAGCGAGGACCAAAAATGCGAGAAAACAAAGGGCGCGTAACTTCCAGACGCATGACGTAGCCAAAAAACAAATGGTAGGGGCCCTTCTGCTAACGACCCTATGCTGTCCCGCACTCCCTTCTCGCTTGCCGTTCTGCCGCTGTCGTGTGCTCCTTGTCTCTCGCTATCGTCTGCTCCTTGTCTCTCGCTATCGTATTGCTCCTTATCTTTGACTGCCGTGTTCTCCTTGTCTCTCGCTGTCATGTGCTGCTCAATGTCATGCCCAACCCAAAATAATAGTAAGAGAGGCAAAGGGAAGGGCAGGGGTAACTCTCCAAAGCAGCACCTCATCACCATCGTCTCACCACTCAGTCATCGTCTCTCATGTCCTCAGCATCTCCGAATCATCACGTTCACAGGCGCCACTCGAGGTCGCATTCGCCAACCAGAGCTGGTTACTGACCTCCCTTAACTCGAACCCCGAAACTGAAGCGGTATTGGCCGAGTGCAGCTTTATATGATGAATGACTCTGTGCGCACACCCGCAGGCACGTGCGCATGCACGTGTGGACTTGGGAGTGCGTATATATCATGAATGCCTCTGTGCGCACACTTGCGCATGCACGTTTGGACTTGGAGTGCGTGTATATCATGAATGTCTCTGTTCGCACACATTCATCATATACAAAGTCGACACGTGCATGCGCACCCCTCACTCCAAGTCGACACGTGCATGCGGAGGGGTGCGCACACACACGTTCATTATATACACACACTCCAAGTCGTCGACACGTGCATGCGCAGGGGTGCGCACACAGACATTTACGTACACACACTTCAAGTCCACATGTGCATGCGCAATTCCACATGTGCATGTGCATGCGCAGGTGTGCGCACAGAGGGATTCAATATACACACAGTCCAAGTCCACATGTGCATGCGCAGGTGTGCGCAAAGAAGCATTCAGTATATACACACATACGGAGTCCACATGTGCATGCGCAGGTGTGCGCACAGAAACATTCAGTATATACACACACTCCAAGTCCACATGTGCCTGCGCAGGTGTGCGCACAGAAGCATTCAGTATATACACACACTGCAAGTCCACATGTGCATGCGCAATTCCACATGTGCATGTGCATGCGCAAGTGTGCGCACAGAAACATTCAATATACACACACAATCCGAGTCCACATGTGCATGCGCAGGTGTGCGTACAGAGGCAAACATTACATACACACACACCAAGTCCAGATGTACATGCGCAATTCCACATATGCATGTGCATGCGCAGGTGTACGCACAGAGGCATTCAGTATATACACACACTCCAAGTCAACATGTGCATGCGCAATTCCACATATGCATGTGCATGCGCAGGTGTGCGCTCAGAAACATTCAATATACACACAGTCCAAGTCCACATGTGCATGCGCAGGTGTGCGCAAAGAAGCATTCAGTATATAC